TCTTATATATATATATATATATATATATATATATATATATATATATATATATATATATATATATATATATATATATATATATATATATATATATATATATATATATATATATATATATATATATATATATATATATATATATATATATATATATATATATATATATATATATATATATATATATATATATATATATATATATATATATATATATATATATATATATATACTTATATAAGAGAAAGTATACTTATATATACTTATATATATATATATATATATATATATATATATATATATATATATATATATATATATATATATATATATATAAGAGAAAGTATACTTATATATACTTATACATATATATACTTATATACTAAGAGAGAGTATATATACACACATATGACATATTATATGTAAGAGAGAGTATATATACTAAGAGAGAGTATATATACACACTTATATATACTTATATATACTTATATATACTTATATACTAAGAGAGAGTATATATACACACATATGACATATTATACATATATAGAAATATGTTATATATACATATATTATATATATACATATATTATACATATATAAAAATATATTATATATACATATATAATACATATTATATATATTTATATATACATATATAATATAATACATAAAAATAAAAAATAAAAAATTAAAAAAACTACTATTCCGGGCCGGGCCTGGCCCGGCGCGGGCTGTTTTGGACAGTCCTAGCGAGGGGTGACAAGAACGAGAATGGAAGAGAATGGAGATTTCGTTTTTTTGTATGGAGAGAGAAAAACGGGGTTTTTCTCCGTAATCGGCCGTTTTTTAGCAGAAAATTTTCGGGAGAAGTTTCCGGGCCCCGGCCCGGCCGGGCCTGGGCCGCGGGCTGTTTTGGACAGTCCTAGCGAGGGGTGACAAGAACGAGAATGGAAGAGAATGGAGATTTCGTTTTTTTGTATGGAGAGAGAAAAACGGGGTTTTTCTCCGTAATCGGCCGTTTTTTAGCAGAAAATTTTCGGGAGAAAATTCTGATGTGGCGTCACCACTTTACTTTTTATTTTTTGTTATTTTTTGCAAACAAAACGTATGATTATGGGGAAAACAGCAAATTTTGACTGCTTCAGAGAAATGAGCACTTTCTGCATTTTTTTTTGACGAAACAAACAGGCCCTAAAACGAAAATAAATCATTAAAAAAAAAAACTCTCCTCAGTATTCTTTACTTCTCGATATCGCGCCATGGCGGGGACCTTCGAGCTCTGCAATGGCGAGAGAGCCGTCGTCTTCCTCTTCATTTCCCGCGTCCTCTTCTCGATCCCTCTCTCTTTGCTCTACGAGGCGTTTGCCCTATGTTTGCTCGCGATCGCAGGCCTCGCCGTCGAGATCTCAGCGGAGAATTCGAAAGCCGTAAATTGCTTCAAACAGAGGTGAGAGTAAGAAAATTTTAGGGTTTTGATGTGAGCTTGTTTTGGATTTTAGTTGATTAGGGATATCTAATACTGTCTGCTAAGAGAATTTTTTTAGGGTTTTGATGTGAGCTTGTTTTGGATTTTAGTTGATTAGGGATATCTAATACTGTCTGCTAAGAGAATTTTAGGGTTTTACCTCTTTGTTGTCGCTCTTCATGTGTAACGTATGTAAATAATGCAAACAATCTTCTCTCATTTTATTCTCGAATTTCTTAGGTCTAATATTTCTACGTGATCGGATCCTATGTGCTCTGGTTGGTTAGGTTTTTGATGTGAGATTGGTTTGGCTTCTGATTGGTTAGGGATTTTGATGCTAATAGTGTCTGCTAAGAGAATTTAGGGTTTTACCTCTTTGTTATCGCTCTTTATGTGTACTATATGTAAATAATTCAAACAATTTTCTCTCATTTTATTATCGACCGGATCTTCCGTGTTCTGATTAGTTAGGGTTTTGATGTGAGGTTGGTTTGGCTTCTAGTTGGTTAGGGATTTTGATGCTAATAGTATTTGATAAGAGAATTTTAGTGTTTTACTTATTTATTACTCTTCATGTGTAATGTATGCAAATGATGCATTTTCCATAAAATTTAATGCAACTTGTATTTTATAGGATGAATTGTTCTGGTTGTAAATTGTGTGAGCTTGCAACATATGAAGTTGGAAGGCTTTTGTAGCTTTAGGAAATAGAAATGATTGTTTACTCCAAACTTTATTATTGGTTTATCTCTTGTTCAGGCCCGGTGCTTCATCTGGAATACTACTTGGTGCGGTTACACTTCCTACTGTTATGTTATCGCGATTGATACAAATGTCAAGAGCTATATCAGTGAATGATATTGAACTCGAAGGTAAACTCCTTGATCTGAATCAAGGCATGGTTCCTTGTTCAGATTGGTTCTTGTTAAAATATTTGGAACTTTCATGTTTTTTGTGCTGTCTGTCTACTGCTCTGTATTTTGCTTTTTTGTTAAAAGTTTGTGGATATATAGTCATAGACAACCGTTCACTGCCAATGACTGTAGGAATGTCAGATAAAGTGGAACAATGTATGATGTGTATTTATCTACATTCGAACATTTAAAAGAATGACTAGCATATTTAGATAGTTTATTATTATACCTGCATCATAGTTTTCTTCTATTATTGGAAAGCTTGTAAGGAATGGTCCTTGACTTTATGGAGGGGAGGAGGCAGTTGTTTATTTTCTTAAAAAATTTGTGGGCATTTTCGGGGAAGGGGTTTTATTGTGTGTGTGTGAGTCCTATGTTCGGGTGGGGGATTACAGGAAGTGGCCATTCAAGCACAATTGTTACTTGTTAAGGTCCTTTCCAGCTTAAGGTCTTGATTGCAAGGGTTCATCTCATTTAAGAGCTCTAGTATTAATTGTCTATAACAGATTCTAGAGATATTTACTACACTGGGAAGATATCTTCTCTATACTTTGACATCATTTACTTCTTATATGTTATATTTACACATAATTTTTTAGCGATTTCTATCAGAATATCCTCTTGTTGCTTTGGGCAGGGAGTGCATATTTGAGTACACAATATTGGGCTGCATCGGCAAGCTGCTTTGGTGTGCTTATCTTCATCTATCAAACGCTGCAACAGTCTCCCACAGCCACATGTCGTCTGAATCTATGGCATTCTAGAGCTTCAAAATTTAGCTTGTTGTACACAACTGCTTACGCACTAACATACTATCTGTCTTTTGCAAGAAAATCATACAGTGGTCAGTATTTTAACACATATATTGCTTTATTATGTTACAGTGAGGGGGGTGTTATTTTGATATTTGACTACTTGCCTCTGGCTAGCTGACTAACTAAAGGAGTAATATTTGTCAAAAGAATAAAATCAGTTTTGATGTATTACAGGATGGTGTGCTGCATTTGATTTATTGTGGTTGCTTATTCATGGGCTAGTAACTGTGATACTTATCCAACATATTCTTCAGACATTTCCATCCTGTGCCTCAATAGGTATATATTCATCAATAGCTTCAGCCATCCTTCAAATCTGAATTTTAAACTTTGTACTAATTCGTTCTCAGCTGTCATATTCTTCGTGGAACTGTTTCCTTTTTTTTTTCCTTTTTGAAATAGTTATACTTTAAATCATATTGCATTTTTTCGGTGCTGTATGGACTAGTCATATGTTTACTTGTGAATATCATCCAGCACCATATTGCATCAGGGCAAACAAAAGATGTAAAGAAGGATTCCATTGGGTAGAAGTTTGGAGCTTTCCTTCTACAAGATTCATTGATATAAAGGTTCCTTTTCTTCATATTAGAACCCCCAAAGATTTGTTAATTTTATATCAGACCCTTAAATCTTCATATCTCTAAATTAGGCCCCCAAATCTTCATGTTTGTCAAAATGGGGATCATTTTTAAAACATCTAAGTAGATTTGAGGGTCTTGTTTAAATAACTTTGACAGCTTTGGGGTTCTTGTTTAAAAAATCTTAATGGACCTGGGGGTCTAATTTAGAAATATTAAGATTGGGGTTTAATATAGAATTAACAAAGATTGGGGTGTCCAATATGACAAGCACCCTATAAATAATTGAAGTCAATTAGATTATTGACCAGTAGGTCCAGTGATATTGACTAGTGAGCATTATGGCCATTTATTTTTTGAAATTTCTGTCTGCAGAATGTTTTGTATAAATAAATGTCAATTATAGATAATTGATGACTGGTCACCAAGTTTAACTGATAAGAAACTTGAAACTATATGTAAATTTCTCATCTCAGAACGCAGATTTAATCATTGATGCTATGGTGTGTATGGGCTTAATTACTTTTGTTTTAACTTCTAAAGGAATTTCAATTAATTTTTAGCTCGTTAATGCTATTGAACTTGCCAGTGTGATTTATGATTATTGGATTTATTATCGATGAATATGACATAAGATTTTTCAGAAAACACTCTGATTTATCCTGGTTTGATGATGACTAGATAATTAGACATTACAAATACGAAATTCGTTCTCTGGTGATTTTACATTTTTCTTGTGTGCTTTCCCTATTGGGGAAGACGGATAGAAGAGCTGACTCTCTAGTTTGTAAAGTAACGGAGTTTCCTATCAATGGAAGCATGTAATATGGTCATAGTAATGTTTCAGGAAGTCATCCACAACATGGAAGTTCGACTAAAAAAAATGATCTCGCTTTTTAGGTGTGCTTCTTCTGGATAAGAAAAAATAATACAGGGAATGATTACTCATGTAAATTATGTAATGCCTTATATGTGTGATACATGTGCTCGCGCACAAGCACTCACACACATATAATAAGTAGTGCATCTGAGAATTATTGGCAAATAGTATAGTTAGAAAAGATGATGAGCATTGTCTGTTAAAGGCTTGACTATTTCCTCTAGTAGTTTTTGTAAGTGCTATAGTTATTGGATTGTACTTTGAGGAATGTGGTTGAATTTTTAGGTCAATTGCAATAAATGCTTTAATCAAAGGTACTCTTCAGGTTTTACAATGAAACAGAGTTTGTTATTTTCTCACAACCTACTTCAGTTGTTTGTCTTATTTTCAGGCGAAGCACTCCTTGCTTCTAGTGGTTTGGTTCTCTACTTCGGCGATATGCTGGCTTATACTTTGTCAAAGGTTTCTTCTTTTATAATCAAGCAATTTTCTATCAGCTCATCTTAAAAATATATTGCAATGGTGCCAGCAAAGCAACTATTGTCTTATGAGATTAACGTCTCTTGCAGATCAGCACATTCCTATTTCCGCAACTGAACTTTGTTCAAATTGGAAATGGAAGCGAAATAAGCACAGTTATTCAGGTATAATCCTTGGAACTATTTGAGGTAGTTTCTACAGTTATTAAGGTATAATCCTTGGAACTATTTGAAGTAGTTTCTATTAGTCTTAATTGTAATCACATGCTTTTTCCAATACAGGGAGTACTGTTGGGTATTCTTCTTTTGCCCACATTTTACAAATTTGCCCTTCGAATTTGGTCACACTTCACAAATCCCACAAAGTCTGCAGAGCAAGAAGTGGGAAGATGTAGAATGATTGGGAAATCTGTTTTATTTTATGTTTCTCTGTTTGTCATGTTAACTATGATAGTTCCTGCATGGATGTACTTCATTCAGGATTTTCATGTGCATCCTGTGCCGTGGTATATATCTTTAACCTTTGTCCTTATCTTCTGCTAATTTTGTTCCTTTGTATTCTTCCTAGTTATAAGCACTTATGGAGTGCTCTTAGATAACACCAGTTTCTAGATATAACAGAATCATGCATGCTTATTAGTTAACTGAACCAAATATTGGCTCTTGATCATGCTTATTACTGTTGAATTTTAATGGTATAATTCGGTAGAATTTTATGATAATGGTTATGATATATCACAAGAGACATGGTACAAAGTAAGCTTCGACTTCCTCTTATAAACATTTATCTTTCATTTTTATAATATGTCATCATGGACCTAATTAATTGGATTATTTTGTCAATATTTAGTAAGGCTATGATTATGGATCCTAAAAATCCTTTTTGGTGATTATATTCTTCTCAATATAGTAAAGGTACTCTTAATTTTGTTGGGACTATGTTCCTTCAGTTCTAGTAATAATATCCCTATTGGTGCCGAAAGTATCGGAGAAGAAAGCTTACATACTGATTTTTCCTTGTTCTTAATAGTTCTTAATCTGATAAATCTCAACTAATAATAATAAATGTGATCACAGTAGAAGCAGTATATCTATCGAATGATGTTATACCTAGGCTCATATTTATTGTTGTTATGATATACAACTTCAGTATGAATTGATAATTTATCACGATAATTTAACACTTTTACACCATTACCTGACTAGCCCTTGCAAGTGATGCACATTTTGGAAGGAGCAAAATTATAGACCACATAAAAACATCCAAGATCAGAACATATCACATATGGGAATATTTCAACTAGATAGTTTATGTCTAATTTATTAAAGCTTCTTCCTTTCTTGTTACTTAGAGGCATCTATCTTTGATAAGCTTATGGTGCTGCTCTGTATTAGTTGCAGTCTGCATATTTATGCCCAGACTTGAAAAAGAATAAACAGTTTAATTACACCAGCGTCCTTATGTTTATAGTAAAGTATGTGCTGTGACAGCTGTCAAGGAAGTTCTTTTGTCTTCAACATGAGACTTTCACGATTTTGCCTAAAGTGCAATTGCAGTAAGATATGACGACTGAAATATGCAATACTGATTGTGCATATGATATGTGGTGGTCTGCCCATCGGCTTGGGAAACATGAATTTAATGGTTCGGAATGCAATTCACTTGATGAGTATATGATGTGTTTTAGTGATGGTTCTAAAAATAGAGTGTAATTGAGCCATTAGTTCTCGCTTTCTTAGTTTCTTTATTCTCTTTTTTCTTTTGATTTTTGTTCACTTTCCTTCTCTCCTTTTTGTGAAGAGGATAAGAGTCTAGGTGATTCCCTCTACTTTCTGCTGAGTTTCCATTATGGTTATGAACTTATGATTACAAAATAGTACATGCCTAGAAAAATCTGTAGTATGGTGCCTTCTTCATTAAGATAAATCCTTCTTTTGGCCCAAGTATTTAATTTTTTGAAACAGTGCGTGTGCGAAACAGCAACTTTTTCTATGGCATTTTATTCCAAATGTCTTAAGGTTATGATTTTGGTCAGCAATTACATTTTAGTTAATTTCTTCTATATACCATTGCTGGGAAGCTGTTTGTTGCTAAATGATTCTAACCCATAAAATGTACAATGTTCGTAAGCAACTTAGAATATTTTTTTTCTTCATTATTCTTATCTTTGAAAAGTATGCTTTGTTTCACTTTCACCTGTTTAACACGATTGCTGACGGTTGTGTTACCTCTTTAATTTCTTGGTAACTTGTAGACATAAATGTAATATTTCAATACATTGCAGCGTAACATCTTTGACATATTATATCATTGAAACTAAAAGATATTTTATTTGTGTTGTGCAAAAACCAATTTCTTTGTGTTGTGCAAAAACCAACACTATCTTCTCTCTTGCTCTACTTTTGTTCTTTGATCAACTCAAGATGATGTCTAGCTTCATCATTTTAAAAAAGTCGTTTACTCGTGCCTAGATTTTGACACTATTGAAGTTATTAGGATACAAACTTCTGTGTGCTTCCTGGATTGTTCTATTTATCAAAGAGAAATTGATGTTTGTTGATGTGGTCTCTGCAGGGTTTTTATTTTTGTGTTCTCTGAGCCACTTAAACGGATGGCGTTATGCATGTACTGGATATCTGTGATCTGTGTTTCTGTTTTGCGATTCTACAATATTTCAAAGCACAGCAAGATAGAGAGGATCCTTCTCCGGAAGTACTACCATATGGTAGCAGTTATAATGTTTTTGCCCGCTTTTCTCTTTCAGGTTCGGAGAATGAACTAAAGCCATATATCTGTGACCTGTCATCAGTATGTCTCAACATAGTAGTTAATGACAAAACATCTCTGCATGCAGCCATTATTTCTCGATCTAGCATTTGGTGCAGCTTTGGCAGTTTTCTTGGTATTAGAAATGATTCGAGTAAGTCAAGTTTCAATATGCTTATAACTCTTAAATAGGTAATTTGGCAATCTGATTTATCATTTAATATGCTGTTGTAAGTGGATGATGATGGTCGTGTTGGTTTAAGATTTTAATCTCATTTCTATTGATAAAATGCATGAATAAGTTGAATATTCTAATAATGCACTTTACATCTAGTCTTTTTCCATGTAAAGAAGTTCCTCTTAGTCTTGAGCATTTTAGATAAGAATAGGAATATTATTGTTTTCTATCTTTGAGATTGTTCTAGGAAATGTCCCCTATTAGTAACGTCCCTTTAACTATGTAGCACATTACTTCAAACATGAAGTGTGATTTAAAACACATGTCAAACACATGTATACTGGATACATGTATTGAACATTATACTTGCTTTTACTCATCTTTAGAATTTTTCAGGTGCTGTTGTGTTTTGTTGTTTGTATCTGTGTCCCCATATCTCTGTCCATGCAACATAGCTTTAGCCTATTTCACTGATCCCCCCCCTTCTCTAGATGCCATTATGACCATCTGTTGTCATCTCCCAAAACATCCAATCAAAATATATACATCAATGGCAGATGTATGGGAACACAGTAGAGTTGCAGTCTCCAACGAATTGAAGAATGAAGAGCAAAGATGCATATTTCTCATGGTTCAAAATGTTTTGACATTTGGAGTTTAGATGAAAAATTAATTTTTTAGTTTTTTATAATTTTGATTATATACTTTGAAAGTTGAAGAGGGATCTCTACAAAAGGGTGGGCATTGTCAAAAAAGGTTATTGAGCATTTTAGTTGCCTAATGTTTGATACAGTTTTAATGATGTAAACTGAGTCGGCTTTATGTGGCTTGAGCTTTTCCTTTACCCATTTTTCATATAACTAGTATAGTGCGTGTGCATTGCATGTATACATACTTGTTTTACTTTTTGAACGTTTCTATGGCTTGAAAATGATGAAGAGACTTGAAATAACGTTTTGGAATATAGTGTAGTCATATTACTTTTCCATATTTGATGAAATAATCGGGAATATGTTGTAAGTATACTAAAAATATAAAATCATATATTATAACGATATATCAAACAATTAAATAATAAAATTGATATTATATATGTTGGATATAATTTTATTTACAAATTGCAAATTAATTTTTTGTTTAAAATTAGCAACTAATTTACCTTTGATTTTAAAACTCCAGATACTTGGAATAATTGCTGGAAAGTCAATTGTTCAAAATTAACATATGGCGCTAATAATTAAAGAATATGGTGCAAACGTAAATGTCAAAATAAAATTAGTTAGTTATTTGAGCTCAAAAAATTAAAGAATAATTTAATATTTACTTCATTTGATGTTAAAATAATAATTTTAATCAATGCCTGATAAGCTCGAAATTACATTAACAAACTTTTATAAATTGCACGTGCATTATAGAGCTTCTACAAATTGAAGTTCGATCCTCCAAAATAGATAAAATTTCTCTTAAGTGAAAAACAAAAACTCCTCTCAGGTCATCTAGAGGAAGCTTGAAAAGCAACCGATTCTTCTTGCTCCTCAATGATAACACTTGCTTCCGGATTAGAAATAAATAATTCAATCACTATTTTTCAAAAGAATACAAAATAAATCCAATAACTCAAGAATTACCATGATTTGAGAATCTCCACTCGTCGTGTCGCCATAGTTCACAGAGGTCTAAGACACGGACTCTGGCATCAACAATCTCGACAATATGTGACAGATGGTCGCCTGCAATGGCGGTCCGACGATAGCGAGAAAGGTAAATGGGAAAGATATATTTGGGCAATTAATGGTGGATTTTTATTTCTAGTAAATTGATTAGAAAACGTTTGATGGGATCAATGCAATTTAAGTAGCTTTAATGGAAGAATTATAAAACCATAATTTAATTGCATTTTAGACAACCAACATCCCTTATATCAAACCTCTGACATCTTTGATAATGCTGCATAAATATACTATATAGATATTTTTAATCAAAAAGAATAAGAACAACATTTAATTTTGTGAAGCAAACCTTCAAATGATATCTTCTTTCTATGATATTCCTTCATCTGCACCAAATCGAAGAAGAAGAAAATTAGTATGAGAAATGGCTAATAACTGGAAGAGAGAAAGAGGATGAGGTAAGACTTTATATTTACTTTATGAACTGAATGATATCTTGGGTTCTTGAGATTTACGTACGTCTATGTGCACCAAACCAAAGAAGAAGAAACACAGTCAGTATTTGAAAAGACTAATAATTTGAAGAGAGAAAGGAAGTGACATAATATTGTATATATATAACTCTAGAAATTTACCATAATATCATAATCTCTTCGACCCGAGGTGTCGCTAGAGACTAGAGTTCACAGTGGAGGTCTCAGAGGTAGACGCCATCTTCAACAATCTCGACGGGGGAGAGGCAACAATGAAGGTCCAACGAAGGTCCAACGATGACGAGAAAGATACACACATATATGGGGATGATGAAATTTTTATCTATAGTATAATAGTGATAGGAAAGGAGGAGAATTTCAAAAGTTTTGATTGGATTAATGTCATTTAAGTGGGTTTGATGGAGTTATAAAACCATAAGTTAAGTCAATTTTAATTTAACATGCAATAATGGAAATGTAACTCTTGTGTCTAACAACGGCTAGGGTATTCCCCGTGAATGAAAACTCTAATGGTACATTCTAATACTATGACTTTCCTTCTTAATGGACTAAAAATTTGAGCCGGTGCTAGTGCTACATTATAATAATAGTAAAGGAGGTTATGTGATGGGAAAGTTTTGAGGGTTTAGTTGGATGTCATTAAATAGATATAATGCTACAATCAAAAAAAGGCTATCTCTTCATGTATGCTATGTAATTAGGCATGAAGTATTATGTATATGATTTCATGTATGCATGTATGTGTCTTCATATATGTATGCATGTCTTTTAATATAAATTGGAGGTACTTTTGGGAAAAATGTTTTAACATGGTAACACACTCTTATATTAGTATTAGATTAGATTAGATTAGATTAGATTAGATATCCTTTAATTTCGTTAAAATCATGTATATATTAAGTAAATGTGAGAAACTATATTTCCATGTTAGATAATGGATGAGAAAAGCTCTTGGCAAGTCTTTTATTATTTTAAGATTATTAAATTCTTTTTAACAGGTTTGGAAAATTTGGCCCTTGGGAAACATTGTGCATCAGTTCATGAGCGCTTTCACTGATCATCGTGACTCGGAAATTCTTATCATTAGGTGATTTTCTGATTTTCATATTTATTTAAAGTCGCTGCACAATGTGTCGTAGAAAATTTGGCCGTAGGGGAAACATCATTTCATTGCCTCTTGTTTCTAATTATAACCTTTTTTTCCAGTCACTTTTCTCTCCTGCTGGGTTGTGCCCTTCCAAAATGGATGTCGTCTGGGTTTAACGATCGACCTCTCACGCCCTTTGCTGGGATTTTGAGTTTGGGTATCGGTGATACCATGGTAAGTTTTAGTTGGTGATCTGTGTGGGTTGTTTCAACTGCTTCCATCCTTTTCTTGTATGCATGTGATTATATTATTGGCATTGCAGGTATTTCTTCTTCTTTTTTCCCATGCATATGACCTCATGAGAAAACAATGCATTGTGATGACACCTCTTAATTCTTTCTATCGCAAGTCTGTTGAGTCTTATACTTCGATCAAACTGGTATAGGGCTTCAAAATTGGATCTTGTTATCTTGATTCTTCCTTTACTAAAGATGTGTTTGTTTTATATTCAGTATTCCCACTAGAAGTCTCTTGATGGTAGTTAACCCTTCGTACGTCCAACCAAATAAGTTCTATTAATTTCCTCAGGATTATGAATCCGCAAGCTTTATGGATTTTTTTTGATAGTTTTAAGAAAATGCTCACGGCTGGTTTGTGTTGAAAATTATCCTTCATTTATGTGCTATTTGCACCTATTTTTTGCCATCTCAATGGGTTACAAGACACTGGTTAGTTTTACTTCTAATTTAACTCAAAAAGCTTCAATAATTTATTGCCTTAGCGATGTACCTAGATTCAGTTTAGCATCTGGAAACATAAATTATCACAAATATGGGATGCCATTTATGATCTTGATCTTGTGGCAATTATAAACACGAAAGACCATGAGCAGGGCTAATGTGGATAGTAGTTCTGAGGAGAACTTAAAACAAGCAAGCTTCTGACTTTAAATGCAGCAGCACCAATTTTAGGTGACTTCTTTTTAAGTCAAAAGGTGCTATTGCTAATTCACAATGCCCTGCTGTTAGGTTGCTTCCTAGGTGAACGATAGCTGTGAAAGTTCACCACCACAACGGCAAAGTCATTACCTGAAGTGCAGGGGATCAGTTACAGAGTGGTTCCTGATTTACTTGAAAATCATGCTCTTAGCATTACCAAAACTTAATTCTTCAAGGGCGAATCTTATTATCTTTTAAGCCATTATAAGAACTGTCCACATTGCTATGTCCATTGATGACATTTCACTCTTCCCTCTGCTCCCTTTTTTTCTATATGTCATATTTAACGCTGCATCTGGCTAATTTTGGTAATTATGTGATTTCTACTTGTGGTTGCTGGAATGTTGATGGCATTGAAAACCTAGTAGGTTATATTCCTTTTAGGGTGAATTGTGGATAGACCCCCTTAGTGTTACTGTTTTGAACTTACTACTACTATAGTTTTGTTGCTGCAGATAGACCCTCCGAGTGAATTTTTTTTTGACATTTCTATGCTCGAAGAAATAGATAGCTGTTTTTTAATAAACAGACCCCTAAGGTAAGAGCGACAAACAAAAATTCATTCAAGGGGTCTATCCATAACAACAAAACTAGAGGGATAGTGAGTTCAAAACAACAATATGACTGGAGGTCTAGCTGCAATTAACCCTTCTTTTAACTCTTCCCTGTGAGTTCTTTCGGTGGTTCTTCTGATAGTTTATTCCTTAAATGTATGACTTGGCTTGTTGGATATTATATTCTCTAATCAACCTCGTGCTATCATGTGTATTACCACAGGCATCAATGGTTGGCCACAAGTATGGTGTTCTTCGTTGGAGCAAAAATGGCAGTAAGATAACTTATGCTTACTTTTTTTTCCCAGTGATGCTAGCTCATAACTGTTTCTTTTAGGAGAACTTTTTTTCCCTGAATACTTATGACATGCTTTGTCTTCTTAGAAAAAACAATTGAAGGCACTGCAGCTGGCATAACTTCTGTCTTGGTGGCATGCTCGGCACTCCTGCCTCTTCTAGCATCCACTGGTTACGTACCATCCCAGGTTTGATCTCACCCTTTCTTTCAATTAAAGAGAAGGATAAGAAAGTTGCATTGTGTAATGCATGTTCTTTGCATGTAAATGCCATGTTTTCATGGCATAGGAGTGAATTAGCTCCATCATTGCATATAGGTATGTCAACTGGCTCCAATAGCCTGCCAGTAGCATCTGGACCTTTCCCAGATTTAAGCAGGCTTTGTCGTGGACTTAGTAGGAAGGTTAGTCAGATAGGATAAGGTAGTGGGCATATGCATGTTTCAACCGTGCCAATAATCTTGCAACAGTTTAACCACAATCCTTGTGAAAAAATTGTTTATTCAACTAGGTCTGCATTTATACAAGAGAAAGTAGAAATATGGAACTGCATTCACAATAATAACTTGAAGTTACATTGGACATGTCTAGAGAAAACTTAATTTTAAATCCACTTGGGCCTTGATCACTTCCGAGTTAGAGTTTGAAATCTTGTTTTAACTACATGTTGCCTGGGATTTGGTAAGCCTAACCGGCCCTGGATTGGATATTTTTGAATGCATAGAATTATACCAAGTACTGCAAACAGGTCTTAATAGGCATAGGCATTTATTCAGGTTCATTTTTTTCCTTTTTGCAGCATTGGTTTTCACTGCTTGTGGCAGTTACTGCGAGTGGTTTATTGGAAGCATACACGGCACAGCTTGACAACGCTTTTATCCCTCTTGTATTCTACAGCCTTCTCTGTCTCTGAAACAGTGAGTCCATGATCTACTTCAAATTCGTTACATGTATATCATTTCTGTTTACTTATTTAACCCAATTTTTTATACGGCACCTTGAGCACTCCTGTATAGAGATGGCAAGTCGGCCAATAGATTGTAGGCAAATCAGATCATAGCTCAGAAGAATTAATTTGTGTTATTACGATGTTACAGTGATACAACGATTTCCTTCTTGTATTATTCAAAGCTTACTATATGACCACACGAACTGCTCAAGAATGTAAATAATAGTTACCGCTTGTAGAATCAGTTGCATACATCAGTCAACCTTAATTTGTTTTGTCTTTGGTTTTCCTGTTATTAGTTCTCATAGGAACAACGCGTTTATTTGCTGAGAAGGTCTGCTCTGATCCTGGTTTCGTTGTTTTGTAAAAGATCATTTCCTTTTCTGGAGAATTTACTTGTGTACTGTAGACGTCAAAAATGCTTACAGACATCCAAATATCACTCAAGACAAAGAGAAGGTGATAAACATCAGTATCTAAGTCATGGGAGATCATACAAGCCCAAAGGAAGCAAAAGGATCTGTGAATCAACACAAAACAATGTGAATTCACAGAACAATGCAAACTACAGCGTGTGGGCGCGGCAGCTCATGGTGCCGCGGCTACAGCGCGGCAGCTCATAGTGCCGCGGCTAAGACGCGGCAGTTCATAGTGCCGCGGCTTGGGCGCGGCAATCCATGGTGCCGCGGCTACTATAGGGGATGCTACAGCGGTTACGAGGTAGTTATGTGATGATTATGTGAAGTCTACGTGGCGGCGTATCAGAAATAGAACGTGTGCTGACGTGGACAAGCAGTTAAACCACGAAAAAGGTGGTTAAAAGTCGTGGGAGGACAGTTTCAAGCACGATGGAACGTGCTGGTAACTGCCCCTGTGGCCGCTGCAGTTCATGCTGCCGCGCCAATAGCCGCTGCAGTCCGGGATGTCGCGGTCAAAGGGATAGTCGTTGATCGGCTATTTCTTCAGTTATTGTCCAAGGAGGCTATAAATACCCCCCTATGGCCATCATTTAGAGGGGCTGAGCATTTCCAGAGCAGATTAGAGCAGAGAGCCTTGAGTTTTGGTGAATTAGAGCAAGAGAGAGAGTCTTTCTTCTTCACAAACATCCTCAAGAAGCTTCTAGCGAGTCCTAGAGATCTAAGCTCAGACTTGATCTTTGGAAGAGTGAACATCTTACATCGATAAGATATTCGCTTCAAATTCTTACTTCGATAAACGAAGGAAGAATCATTAAACCCCTCACGGTTCAATCAGAATCTGTGATTTGGTGGTCCACGAGTCAAAGCGCTCCCGGCACAGGCAAAGATCCCACGCAAGCAGCGATCCAAACAACGGTCCTGCGTTTGTTTCTCAAGAGTTGTAATTTTCCTTTTGTTGTGTAAAAGAAGTCTTATAAAAAGACTATTTCTTTTGAATTTATTGTAATCGACCGAAGATATAATGAATTCCACAACGAAACCAACTTTTGACGCAAACAAGCTGGCGACCACAGTGGGAGCCAACGGTCTCGCTGCCGAGACCGTCGTGTCGCAGCCGATCAAGATTCCAGTTGAATCCATGGTCGAATACGAATTCGACCAGACCAAGTTTGAGGAATATCTCTCATCATCCTCTTCAAGATCTTCATTATCTCGCAAGTACAAGAGGATCTCACAATTGAGGAAGAGTTGCATGCCAAAGAAGGCACAAAATGAAGACTCTCGCTTGATTGTTGCTGAGAATTTCACTCGCAACACCTCTGCTCAAAATGGCTCTTATCTAATTGAAGAGTCATCGAATCAAAGCCCGACGACATTGACGAAAAGAGCTCGTCAGAGACAGCGTCAGCGTCTTGCTCGTCAAATAGCTAAGGCATTTGAACAAACCGACGGAGTTCGTTATTATGCGGACTTAGAGTCGAGGAAACAACAAGTGGTTCGTTCAACGCAACGACGAACTACTCACGTTTCTGCACAATTCACAACGGAGGAATGGACACTCATCAAAAGGGCTCGTTCGACCCTCCAAGAACGTATACAAAAACGTCGTGCAAACGTTGTTCATGCCCGTGCTCTCTTACAACAAAGACGAGAAAGGAGGAAGGAAACGGTGACCAAAGAATCACCAAAACTCCGCCAAGTTTGGATTCTGAAGTCTGGACTTATGCAAAATCAGCATTCGGAGCCCGTTAAGACTCCATACCCACAAGGGGGTGGTTCTAAACGTGCGACTCCCGACATAACCTTGGATCGCTTAAAGACAAAAATAAATTGTCCTGAGAATGCCAACAAGGTTTTATACTCCCAGAAGAAGACGCATTCACCAAATGATATCGTCATACCTGGGAGATCATACCAACAGACGATACGATTTTTTGGCAATCATACCGATGAATCGTATTATCAAGTTGAGGTTGTGAATAATTTTCGAAAGAGAGTTATTCGAGAGATAAACTCTCGTTGTTCCTGTGCACGACTCGTCAAAACAGCATTATCAGAATGTGACTGTTTCAAACGAGAAATCATCCCACGAAAAGTCTCTGCATTATCAAAGCCTAAGCTGAGACATTTCCGCAAAAGAAAATCAGCTGCCCAAAATGATGAATTCCCTGAAGTCACCATCAACGTAGCTGATAGAAGAAAGTCTAAACAGCATTCAAGTGACTCAAATCCCGACTTTTCCCCGAAAGGAAAAGTCAATCCAAGAATTGCTCAAAGGATGTCTCGACTCCAATTAGGAGCTATCAGACGCAGAGACTACAAGAGAATGCAAGAAGGAATGTCCTCGGAGGATGAATTCTCGGACACTTATTCTGCAATCGCTTCTGATGATACAATGTCTAGCACAGGACAAATCAGAGAAGTATTCACAATCACTGCTGATCAGTTCACTCAAATACTTCAGGAAGCTCTAGCCAAACAACGTGAAGAAATTAGAGCTGAAGTGAAGACAGAAATGAAGTTGGCTATCCAACAAATGAGAGAACTGTTAACTCAACAGCCTCAACCTCCTGAGTCCAATCAGCGACTTGAATCCAGCCACCACACTCGGAATGTTGTAGAGGACAGTGATCCAGAGGTGGATGAAGTCATTATGGCTGATACACCTCCCAATGACAATAACGCTGGGGGTGGTTTAACGGATCCTCCCAATAACGATATTGGGGGTGGTTCAATAGCACCTCTCACTGGGGGTGGTCCAATTATCTTTACTCGACATCATTCAGAAAGAAATGAAGACGATGACGGGAAAATGCAAAAACTTGAAGACAAAATCAATGCTTTGATGACGGCTCAAGAAGTTAAGAAGACGGGTATTCCATGTCCTTATCCGAGGGAATGGGATTCAATACCATACCCGACCAAATTCAATCTGATTAACTTCACACCGTTTGAAGGGAAGAGTTCGCCGATTCAACACTTGATTTATTTCAAGTCTCATTTGGGCATAATCTCTGGAAACGAGGCCTTAATGATCCGGTCATTCGTTGGCACCCTTCGTGGGCCCGCCTTCGATTGGTACCGACGGCTCAAGCCAGGGAGCATCAATTGCTGGGATGACATGGAAAGTTTGTTCCTCAGCAACTTCTTCGATGATGACACCGAAGTGTCAATCGGAACTCTTTTGGATGAGAAGCAAAAAGACGGAGAGTCAGTCGACAATTTTGTCAAGCGTTTCCGTAACATGGCGATGAATTGCAGAGATCCTATTACAGAGGAGTTCATCCTGCAAACATGCCACAATAACCTCTCCATCGATGTCCTGGAAGCTCTGGGGGTCGTGCCATCCACAACTTGGAAGGAGTTAAAATCTCGGGGTGAACAAGCTGAGCACTTTCTTAAAAGAAAGAAAGCTGAGAGAGGCCAACCAATGACATCTGCAATCATTGAGAATGCGACTCTCGATCCGAGGTTTCAAAAGGAATATTCTTTCGAAGATGATGAAGCTCCAGCCATCTTGGAATACCTCCTCGCTAATGACAAAATCGAGCTACCACCTATTAAAGATCAGGATGGTGCTAAAATGATTATGGATCCAAATTACTGTGCGTACCACAGAAGGGTTCTTCATCCCACTGAGATTTGCTTTGGACTCAAAAACAAGATCCAAGCCCTAATTGACTCCGGCGTCATAACGACGAAAGAAGTCGAGTAAAGACGACCATAAAACTCCATTGGGTACACGAGTATAAACTGTTTCCCCTCACTCCGAAAAGTATACGAGTATAAACTGCTCCTTAATACTCCAACAGGTATATGAGTCTAAACTATTTCCTTTCTTTCACGGGAAGTTCCTGAAGAATGCCATGCATGGTACTTTTAAGGATAACCCGATCATATAGCTAAACATAATGATAAACTCAGTTTCACAAGAAAAAGCTGGGGGTGGATGGTTCATGTAACGGAAGTTCCCGAAAGAATGCTATATGTAATTTTCTTAGGAATAACCCGATCATTACAAACAAAGTGTTAAACACTACATCCCCACGGTGATTTCCGAATATTCATTTGCTGAGATGAGATTCGATCACTTCGTTGGATCAATCTTCCCTCTCAAACCCTCCTTTGGTCAAACCTTTAAACAGTTAGGACCAAAGCCAAAATCCCCTCTCGATTCGTTCCATGAACGAGAGGTCCACAAATTGAACGATCAAACCTTTAAACAGTTAGGATCGTCTCAAATCCCCATCTTGGTCAAACCTTTAAACAGTTAGGACCAAAGCCAAAATCCCCTCTCGATTCGTTCCATGAACGAGAGGTCCACAAATTGAACGATCAAACCTTTAAACAGTTAGGATCGTCTCAAATTCCCATCTTGGTCAAACCTTTAAACAGTTAGGACCAAAGCCAAAATCCCCTCTCGATTCGTTCCATGAACGAGAGGTCCACAAATTGAACGATCAAACCTTTAAACAGTTAGGATCGTCTCAAAACTCCAACTTGGTCAAACCTTACTACAGTTAGGACCAAAACCAAAATCCCCTTTCGATTCCTTCCATGAACGAGAGGTCCAGCTTCGATTTGTGCAATCAAAACTATAAAAGTTAAGATTGCTTCCAATCTCAATTGATCAAACCTTATTCAGATTCTCTGAATAGAAATCCCAATTTAAATTTCCTTTGTACCAGGAGATAGAATATAAAATTCTTCCTCTCCGATTCCGGGTTCATCTCTACCAACAAACAAGAGACCAGGAGATAGAATATAAAATTCTTCCTCTCCATCATCGGGTTTATCTCTACCAACAAACAAGAGACCAGGAGATAGAATATAAAATTCTTCCTCTCCATCATCGGGTTCATC